CACCATTTTTAGGTATTTTAGTTTTGCAACATCCTCTGCCTCCACCTTTCCTTTCTTTCCAACAGAACTCCTAATTTCAATTTGTACCTTCTTCATGGCTCTTGGATTCTTGATCAGCTCTGACATTGCCCATAATATGGTAACTGAACTAGTATTTATCCCACCAAGGAATGTATCCTGAAAAGTAAATTAAAAGAATTAAAAATCTTATTACTAAGGATGAAACAGGGCAAAAGGGTTGAATATCTAGAGACATCAGTGAAGATTTGGACTGTATCTACATGAAAAGAAAGAACTTGGAGATATTAATTCAAAGGGAGAAAGCAGAAACAGTATACCAGGAGTATTGCCTTAACATGGTCTTTTGTGAAACTGAAACTGGCACTTTGCTTCTTCAGCAAGTTAATTAGGACATCAACAAGATTTTCGTGTTCGGGTTTAGGCCTGGTAGGATCAAGATGCTGCTCAACCACTGATTCGAAGAAAGCGTCGAGCTCCCTGAAGCTCTTCTCGCGCCTAGCTTTGAGTCCTGTCAAAACATCCACAAGCCTTCCCACTGATGGAAAAAAGTCCTCCGCAGCAAAGCCAGCAAACATTTCCATGGCCTCATCAAGAAGATAATGAAATTCCTCACTCTTGAATTGATTTGCTCCGTATATCTTACCAAAGGCCACAGTGCCGATGACACCATCTGCTAGGCCATATAGCTTCTCGTTGAGATTGACCGGCGTGTGGGAATTTTGTGATAGGGTGTTGATCAATTTATCAACCTCAGCCTCTCTTGCATAAGCAAAGGATTTTACTCTCTTCATGCTCACAAGCTCGGAAATGAAAAGCGCCCTCATCTTCTTCCAGTGATCCCCATAAGGCCCAAATGCTATGTCTAGGTGGTTGTAAGAGAGCCTCTTTGGTCCAGGGGAAGATGGCCGGCTGCAGCAATCGAGGTCATGAGTTTTGAGGACATCTCTTGCTGCCTCAGCTGAAGAAACCACCAGAGCCTTTATGCTACCTAGTTGTAGTAACAGGATTGGACCATGTTTTTTAGATAGATTTTGAAGTGATTGGTGAGGTAAATTCCCCATTTGATGCAAGTTACCTATGATAGGGAGTTTTGGAGGGCTTGGAGGGAGCTTGAAACCCATTCTCCCGCTTTTCTTCTTGTTCATGAGAAGAAGCATGGAAAGGATTAGAAGGAAGAGGAGGAAAAACAGAGAGGGGGACCATGAGATCAACATTATGGTTTCTCTTTTTTCTGCTGCAAGAAGAGATAGTACCATCATCTTAAATAGGAAAAAATGTTGGCCGGTTGACGTCAGCAATTACACTCTTTAATTCTATAGAAATGTTCTAAGCAATTGCTATAAACATTAGATTACTGTGAAACTTCAGCGCTAGAATTGTAAACTCCGCACGTGAATTATTCAATTTGCCGCCTATAAAATTTGGAATAGCTAGGACAATGAAAACTTCAGCCATAGAAATGTAAACTCCGCATGTGAATTATTGAGTCTACTGTTTACAAAATTGGAAAAGATAACCCAACACGATTGCCATACTAAGAGTAAGAGCCTCTTACATTCATGTAGTTCTTAAAGAAGTCATTACTGCATACAAATATCAGAAAGCTTCTCAAAGGAGTTGCATGCACATTTTATTTTATGTCATTTTATTTAAAAGAGTTTTTTAAAGTAATTAATACAAATTAAATTCTCAATAAATTAAATCCAAACTCTTAAATTTAATGATAAACTATTAAATCTATTCTGCTGATTCGAGTTGCATGCTTGCATTTGGCATACAAGCCAAAGAGGAATGGATACAAGCGTACATCCGAGCATGGCAGAGCATGTCTGGCCATTAAGGTTCCAAGCACTAATTATTTGTATGGTGATGCTATACGAATAATTTTTTTTATTTTATTTTTTATTATAATTTTTATGTGTCATTAAATAAGATGATGCATTTAATATTCAATTTTGTGGATTATTCTTACCGGCAGTATAGTCGGGGATGAGATTATGTCCTTCCTCGTGACCATCCTACCCACGGATTTTAGCCTTTTCCCAAATTTTCCTGGCGGCTTTCCTTCATCTCATGATTTTGCTCTAGTTCCTTTGTTTTTGTTTCGAGTCCATCTTGACCCTGACTATTAAGTCCACTACTCAAGAGTTCAATGCTAATATTGAGGCGTACACATGCGATCTCACCTGCTCGTCGAGAATACCATTTTACACCCATAAGATATTAGTCGATTTAATATTTTTATTACTTTAAAAATTTTAGTTTAAAGTTGAGATTAAGGAAATTAAAATTTTGTAACATAAAGCAATCTAACTTTGTTGATGTATCCAAAAAAACCCATAACACTCTATACTTTCTTAATCTAAAAAATCATTACCGATTTCAAGGACCCATTTTTATGGATTCCATGTTGGTTTCCAATTTGTATTTGGAAGCTAGCAGAACAATAGGCTAAGAGATCATCAGCCATCAGGCATCTAAAGTCATGCATATAAGCTTTAACTTTAAGTCTTAATAACCTAATCATATACCTTATGTTTGAATGGAAAAGAATTGAGGGGAGAGAAAAAGAGAGAAACCCATCATTCCCTTTCCCTCCTTTTTCCC